AAGACGTTTGTGTCTCTCTTTAAATGTAACTGGTTTATGAAATTGATCTATTTGCAAATAATCTCTGAATCTGGAAGGAATATTCCCTGAAATAATAATTCTAAGACCCAATGTGTTTTATGGTATCTGTGTAGACAAATACATGCTAATAAAAATAATAAAAGCAGACTCTCACTGAATACTGTTATTTATAATTGATTGGACCATAAGTCTCTCTTATAATAAAATCTTGGACAGTCCACAGTAGGGCAATGACATAGCCACAAAGAAACATCTTAATATTTGTATTTGTACTGAAGGTTCTGTTTCAGTTTTGACTCTTCCTAACTTCCTTCCAATTCCTCCTCTACATAAAACACCCATTTTCTACAACAATAATACACCTAGTTTTCCAAAGGAGCCCCATTCTTTGCTAAGTCTATTAAGTTTAGAGTCTAATTATCTAGCTGCACCTTTGAGAGCTAACAGCTAGGGCAAAACAGAAAATCTCCATGGCATTAAAGCATTATTACTGTATTGCCTGGAGTACTAAAACATGAATGCGATGTAGCGGTAACACCAGTGCTTCTCTCCAGAATTTCAATTAGCCTTAAACGAAAGTGTCATAATAGTGTCACTCGCTCTATGCAACACACCTGTTCACATCTGTCTTCCTATTTAGAAAATCAGTCTTATTCTAGAGCTACCATGTTTCTATTGAGGCCGACAGATAAACTGGAAATTTGGACTGTAGCACTTTAGAATGCAGGTGAATCAGTGGTGGGTTGCTCCAGGTTCTGTCTGGTTCTTTAAAACCGGTAATTAAAGTGGCAGGAGGCTCCGCCCACCTACCCAGACGTCATAAATGACTATCTGTACATGTGAAGCGAGTGTGCATGCTCCCGTTGCAAACCAGTAGTAAACATAAGTAAACCCCTGAGGTGAATCCTAACCAATCACACATGCCAATGTTAGTGATCTATTGACAAAAATATGCAAAATAACTATGTAGCACAAGGCTAAAACTTAGCAGATTAGATAGTTATTGCCTGAGTAACAGGCAACTGTTCTGCAACATGTTTACTGGACAACTGAACTTTCCCACAAACTCGTTATGGCTTCCTAATCAATTATATTATACAACAGGGATGTATCTTGCACATAATAACTCCCATGGTTGGACTTGTATTTTAATTTTTGGATAGAGAATGAATAAACACATAGTTAAAACCAAACAATATCATTTTAGGAGGCTTATTATGCAAAAATATCATATGAGAAGATTAATTAGGAACTACTGTATCTGCACAGGGCAGGGAAAGTATAATTTAAAAACCTTGATAACGTTCAGACTTGTCACAAGAGCTGTCCGTCTTACAGCTGCTTAGCAAAAATAAATATTTGGGTGTCATCACAAGAGTGTCAAAAGAAAAAATGAAGGATTTTGGTTCTGCCCATTACAACTTCAATCCCACCACTATGGTTTATCCAAAATATTATTTTTGATGAGATTAAACAACATCACCAACAAAAATGTCCAGCCCTGATGGAAGATTAGCCATCATTTAGAATATTAATAATTCTAAACGGTGGCTAATAATATTGTCTTTATTTATTTTTTAAAAAAATAATAAGTCATCACTCACTTTATATTGAATCCAGCAAGTTCAAGGAGCTTTTAAACGTATTTTATTGACCTTCTTTCAACTCATGAGAAATGTTTATAAACTCAGACTGAATAACTATTTCTGGGGAAAAAAATTCTGTGCCTTTTCATGTATGTACATAAGCATACAATTCATTAATAGGCACCAAGATAAGACAAAGTTTAAAAATAGATAACTTTTTTCTAATTGTCTTATAGATTTCCCTTGATACAGCATGTCTACACATAATAAGTATGGCAGAGTGTGCATTGATGACTTGTTTGCAACCACAGCAGCTTAGCTGCCAAATGCTGTGTCTATGACCATCATGACAAACTAATTATCTGAGAATCAGGCAACTGGACACAATTCAAAGCAAATTCAACATTAAATTACAAAATTTAACCTCACCACTTAATCAAGACACACTGTAACTAACTCTAGCTAGCTATCCTCCCAACTCATAAGCTCGATGACTTGGTTAGACATACTGTATAACAGATGTCCAACATACAGCTATGAGTCTTAATCATAAATATGATGTTTTTGTTTGGCATGAAATAGCAGAGACCTTGGCCAGTTTCAAGCAAAAGGCTTGCTGCTCTTAATGGAAGAAAACATACTTTTAAAACATGACCTATCTATCTATATATACTTTATTGAGGAAAGAGTCAAAGAATCACCACCAATTTGCTGTCAATGATTCATTACGCTCATTCACTAAGTATCCAGTGAAATTGAAAGATAATGAAGCACAAGACTTTATATTTTTCAGACTCTCCATTTAGTAATAATATTCAGTTTTAAACCAAAATCTATGTTTATTTCATGTAAGCAATCTTTGTTTTAAAATAAAATATGCTGATTATCTAATCACTGAACTATTACTGTATATAATAAATACAGTCAAAGAAGAATCTGGTGGCACCTAAAGACTAACGGGTTAGTCTTTAAGGCAGGCATATCCAAAATCCAGCCCAGGGGCCAATTGCAGCCCGTGTTCAAATTTCGAGCGGCCCGTAGCCTCTTCTCCCTGCCAGCTCAGCCTGTCACTCATCCCCGCCGGCCGGCGTTTTTCCCTTCACCTCACAGTGGTTCCCACAGCTGTCCCCAGCTGCCTCCTGCTCCACAGCTATCCTGCTCTGCAGAGCATCTCAGCCATATTTTTCACCAGAAGATGGCAGTAGACCTGAGTCAGCACTCTCACTGCATGACCCTTGTGAGCTTGTGTGCCCATTTCTAAAATGGTGACTGTAACTAAAAAAAAAGGAAAGTTGACAATGAGGGCCGCTGCTTCCAGGACAAGTAGAAATTGGAGTATTTTTTCACTGAAATACAAAACAACTGTGTCTGCCTAATTTGCCAAGAGACTGTGGCTGTTTTCAAGGAATTCAATATCAAGAGGCACTACCAGACGAAACATGCTAACTACAACAAGCAAACTGGGAACGAACGTGGTGGAAAATGCAAGGAACTGGAAGCTGCTTTAATGGCACAGCAGTGCTTTTTCATAAGAGCCCGTGAGTCAAATCAAAATGCCACAATGGCGAGAGGTGGCAATGATGATTGCCAGCTCTCAGTATCACCCTTCAGATTAGTGCAGTTATTTGTTTAGTCTTTCATAAAATAGTTCATTTGCATTTTTTTTTTAAATTTGATTTATATGCCGCCCTTCTCTGAAGACTCAGGGTGGCTTACAATGTGCTCAGCAATAGCCTTCATCCTTTTGTATATTTTATACAAAGTCAGCTTATTGCCCCCACAAACTGGGTCCTCATTTCACCTACCTTAGAAAGGATGGAAGGCTGAGTCAACCTTGAGCCTTGGCGAGATTCGAACCCTGCAGTAATTGCAGGCAGCTGGTCTTAATAACCAGCTTAATAACAGGGTGCCTTAAACCCCTGTACTACCAGGCTCTTTAATGTTAATGGTTCAAAGAATGTCAGGCTGAATGGTCAGCCCCCACACATTTTCACCTCACCAAATCTGGCCTTCCTTGCAAAAAGTTTGGCCACCCCTGCTTTAAGGTGACACCAGATTATATTGTAGGTATGACTTTGTGAAGTATGCACCACTTTATCAAAGAGAACCCAATGCTTTTGTAGTCTACAAGGTACTTACCGTATATAACAGCATATACCACATGTGCATTATAATTAAAGTGTGCCCTTTAATTATTAGATTGCTGAAGATTTTGAGGATTTTTTTTTTTGTGGGGATGAGAGATGTGTTTGCTAGGAGTTGTTTCCACTCTACTCAATGGGTCTTCTATTAAATGCCAACTCCTGTCACACACAGACGCGGCATTGATTTCATTTTACTGAGATAATAAAAGTGGAATTTATTGACAATTTCAGTCTTGAAAGAGATACCAGTTGTCCCTTTGGATAAAGTACTTTGTAGACAGTTTCCTTCTTGAAATAACTTTTAATATTAGACAGAGATTAGAGAAACTGCTATTATCCTGTAGTTATTCGAAGAGAACTTTGGATATAATTTTTTAATTATTAAGGCTTCTTATTTAAATGCTATCATTCTGACGTTTTAATCATGTCATTAAAAAAAAAACTTCCTGAAGCATCAACATTTAAATATAGTATCTATAGAGCAAGAAAAGTACATAATAGAATAGCTATTCTATTTATAATTATTTTTTTATAAAAAAGATACATTAAAATATATCTTCACAGCAATAAAAAAAAATATAACGTTATTAGTGGCTCATGCTATGACCCCTCTGCACAATGTATTTTTCCTGTTCTCTTGCTTGCTGATCTTGGTGGGGCAGGTTACAAGAGTTGTCAAGTAGTTTGCTTGTGGCACCTGGGATCTTCTTTGGACTAGTAGGTTTGGCTGATGAAGAAGAAAGTTGGGTCACATTAGCTCTGGATCCGTGTATCTTTCACAATTTCTCTAGGAGCACTTTTTGATCACACTATAGGACAATAATGCTGCTCAAGGGTAGGTTGGCCCAGCAAGGTCTACTTCAACCGAACAAGGAGAAAGAACAACAACAAGAAGTACATTGCATAGACATCAGCTATGGAAATAAGAAGAATCCACCAATTCCTGCATAGATATCAGCTACAGGAATAAGAAGAATCTACCAATTCCTGTAGACTTTAGTTCACTAAGGCTCTATGCAAGAAACGCATGAAATAAGCCAAAATATTTTTTTTACACAACTGAAAACTTGAAAACAGTAAATAAAACTAAATAAACTGTTAATTTAAAGGACTGATATGAAAACATATAATATGCTATTAATTAGATATACATTTGGATGGTAGATTATAGATAAGTCATACCTTCTTAAAATATAAAGCAATAAATAAGTAAGATATAGACAAGCTTGCTGTAGGAATAGGCAATGGCAATATTTCAAATGTTTATTTTAGTGTTTAGAAAGATGTTAGAGCAACCTCGTAAATAACAACCAAGGCGACTTTAATGTTTTAATGTGGTAAGCAAGTTATTATAGTTCAAATATAAATCTTGAGGGATGGTTACTAGTGCCAAGAAACTTTTATAGGAAAGAGGGAAATAATATAATTAGAACATTTTCTTTAAAACAGGATTTTACAAATACTACTGCTGTGTTTTGAAAGCATGTCATTGCTGATGATTACAAAATTGCCTACTGATTAAATAAGAAATTGTAGAACCCCCCACCCCTACCCAGACCTACAGCTTTTGCTATCTGGGGCTGCTTGGATGGTGTCTCCACCCCAAAGGACATTTCTCCTTTATAGCACCAGATTCCTGCTTTGATAAAGTGAGGGGTTTTTTTTTTTCAGACTGGTAGCTAGGAACAAACCCAATGGAAAGCTGCTAATTTCTACAACAAACTGAAATTCAGTGGGAGAAGGCATAGGAAAAGGTGTGGTTTAGGACCCAGAAAGCCTCGTCAGGCGGTACTTGTGCAGATCACTGGGAGTCTCTAAAAGGGTCCAGTTTTAATTCTGCCTCTAATCTCTGCAAGAGCCGCGCTTTCTCTCGCCGGCTCAAGGTTGGGTCGATCCTCGCCGCGGCTCTGGATTTTCGCTCGCTGTTCCCGCCAGAAACTATGTCGCCGGTTCCTTTGCCATGGAAGCCGTAGGAGAAAAAGTGATTTCAGATGTTCGAGCCTGAGATCGCGGTATAAAGGACGGGGGGAGTACAAAAATGAAGACGTTGATGGTAAGTCCGTGGATCCCAGATCGCCGCGAGGACTTGAAACGAGACCGTGAGATTCGGCGTGGGAACTGGCGGGCGTTCTCGGAGACTCTCCGGCAGGCTGGATTTGTGATTTTAGCCGGGGCTGGTGGGTGTGCTGCCGATGGGCATTTGGCAAAACCCGCAGGAAGAGGCGAATAACTTTCCGGCACCTGCCTTTCTTTGGGAAGCGGGGGCAGCGCAGCGTCGGGGTCTGTAGGGCTGGCGGGGAAGAAGAGTCCGGCTTGAAATGCAGGGATGTGGGTCGCCCTCGGTAATCCTAAAAGTGGCGAGGATACGATTTTGGTCTTTCGAGCAGACCAAATGGATCTTCCACCTAACCATTTAACCACAAATAGATTTTCCACCTAACCATTTAAGGCTATATATGTACATTTGTTATATATTCACGCCTTAATTTTGGAGAGAGAAGGCGGGTTGCAAATCTATACATTCCAAAAGCAAAGCCAAAATTGAGAGGTCGGCGGGGATGCCAGAGGAAAAGGTGGCCGAGCCCGAGAGGGGTGTGGATGAGGTGGGGGGGGGAGGAGAAAAGGGGGCAAAGAATCGACGGGAGTAAAAAGGGAGGAGAGAGGACGACGCGTTGCAAGCTCCAAGTGCACTTTTCGCGTTTTGCTTTGGAACTTGCAAAAAAAGGCTAATAAACATAGGCGCGCGGGGTCTTTCCGCCCCTAATTGCAAAAACGAGACGAGAGAACGACCGACCTTCTTCTCCGCAGTCCCTCAGCTCCCTTTTATTTCGAATTTATAGGGAAATATATATATAAATATATATTTAAAAAAGAAACAATCCCTCCAGCCCTTCCAGAAGAAGTCCAAACTTCCACAGCCTGCGAGCCGCTTCACCGAGGGGTGTGTGCGCTCCCTTCGCCAGCCTGAGGGGAAGAAAGAGAGAGAGAGAGAGAGAGAGAGAGATGGAGGGAATGGCCAGCCTCGTTGCCAATTCGGTCAAGCCGGCCAAGAGTCCGCCCGGCCGTTTGCGGCATTGCCTAACTGCTGGGAGAAGCCGGGGGGGGGGGCAAAACCGGCGGGAAATCAAGAGGGAGGGAGGCAGGTTTAGGCGCCGCTGCGAGTCGTTCCACGGGAGCGAGAGAGAGACCCCGGCGGCCGAGCAGCGTTACTTTGCCGCCGCCGCCGCAGTCCGACTGTGCTGTTGAGGTCCAAGCGCTTTTTCCCCTCCCTCACTTGCCCGCCTCTCGCCAGCTCAGCCCTGACCCGAGCTGTGTGTCCAGCGGCTTCTCAGCCTCTCTTTGCCCCTCCCTCCTTACAGCGCCATGGGCTGGCTGTGTCTTTAGCGCTCACCACCATGTGCACGAGCTTGTTGCTTATGTACGGCAGCATCGGGAACGGAGGCAGCGGCGGCGGCAGCAGTGACGGTGCCGGCGGCAGAAGGGCCTTAAGAGAGCAAGTCCAGCAGCCGGTGGCGGCGACCACCCCGCTTCAGAAGCCGGAAAGCCAGCGGCCCTCGAGTACAGCCTCCCCGCGACCCTTTCCCGGCCTCGCCGACCGTCTTTTGGAAGGCTACATCAGCGTCCTGGATCACAAGGTGAGCGCAGAGAAGCGGTGCCGCGGGAGGGAGGCGCCAGGCGGGTTGATTGACGTTTGAGATTGAGCTCCTCTTTTGCCTCCCGCTTTTAAGATGCGGGATCGGATGGTTTGAAGAAGAAGAAGAAGAAGAAGAAAAGAAAAAAAAGGAGGAAGATTGCAGGGAGACCGAAAGGTCAGGAAGGGAAGGATGTATTAGGCACTCTAGTCCTTTGCAGCTTGGCAATCGGGAGTGGAGGTTTCAAAGGCGCCCTTGTCTTTTTTGGCATATTGACTGCTTAAAGAGAGATAGGGCTGTGGGATGTTTCTAGCAGCCCAACTGTCTTTTTTTCTGCATTCTGGATAATTGCAATCCATAAGGAATAATGGTGGTTTCAACCGTAGGCTTGAGAGACTCTGCAGAGCAATCTCTCCCACAGGTTGTTACAGACTAATGTTTAATTTGATGGCAATGCTAGACTGGTTTCCGTTTAATTGACAAAATAGTTTACAGCATGTTCTATTTCTTGGAAATATTTGCCCTGCTCTCAAAGGTCAAGCCACCACTCAGGCAGGTCCTAAATTATCACATAGATAAATAGCTTTGATCACACTGCTTTGCTGGAGTGGTTCTATAAAAAGAGGGCAATTTTTTAAGGGCACCTCTAATGTTTATGAGCCAAAATAGAATATTTCTGCTTCTTGGAAGAATAACATCCGTAATGCTGATTTTCTAAAAATTCTTTGGTAGATTTGACACTGTCATTATTCAAGACATTAAAGAAAAAAATAATTTAAAATTACATGTTTGTTTTAAAAATAAATTGCATATCTGATTAAAAAGCCAGGGTGAGTGAGTATGCGAAGTAGTTCTCTATGAAATAGTCATAACTAAAAATTTTTTAAAAAAACCTGGACACCTAGTCTAGTTCAGAAAACTTTTAAGATACATTTTTTATTTATTTTACTTTATTTTGAAGAATTCAGAAACATATTCTATTAGTGCAGAAAGAGATGATGAAAAAAGATTTTTTTAACAATTTATACTGTCTCTGTGTGCCTTAAAATTTAAAAGTTCAAAAATAGGAAAGAATAATAAAACCTATACATTCATTACATTAATACCTCCCTTGAAAGTAGCTGCATCGTAGTGCTAAAGCTCAGCAGAAACCTTGAACGATACATCTGCTTTTCAAAAAGTCACTTGGTTCATTCTCTCTTCTTTCTATACCATCTCTTCTGAATCATTTTAGAAGAATACATAACCAGATTATTTGCAGTGATAAAGAGTTCAGAAAGAGGAATTTAACCACTTGTATGCCATTGCCAGAATGGCATCCTAAATATCACCATGCCTTTTCCCTTCTGTCATTCCTCCTGAGTTCAGAGCAAGTCCAACCAATATGGAATTCCCAACCATTAAGAACTGCTTATTCCAGGAAGTGTGTTTGTGGAGTGTAGCATCAACACCCTTCTGCAAGCAGTGCTTTTTTTTTTTAACTGAATAGTGTTTTCTTAGCGCATTCATTTGCAGACTGTTTGTGTATTGTTTTAAACTTTGCTACAGAGGTGGAGTGTTTTCTGCTTAGAGTTGTGTACCATAGAAAGAATCCTGCATGCCTAAGAATTAAAGATAAATAATAATCTCCAGGAGTCAACTAGATATAAGGGCAACTTTTTATTATTTTTATTATCTACAATATTGTACCTATGGCCAACCTAAAGATTTTCATATAATTTCTAATGATCAGTAAATGTTGCCCATGGAATAGTAATGCTAATTTAAATAATTCTGTTTGTAACTTTAACTAGTATTATTACTTCTTGATACCATGATGTTCTGCTGAGTTATCTTTTCATTAGTTTTGTTTCTCCTCCTGTGGTAGGGTGATGCTTTAATTATTGATTTCCTGTCATTCTATCTTTTCTTTTTTTAAATGACAAAATGGTATTTTTAAAAACAAAACAAAACACCAATCCAATACTTTAATAGAAAGAAAGCAAGAAAATCTGTAACTTGGACTATTCTCCATTTCAGAAAAAAAAATAGTCTTAACTTCATTTTGCTTGTTTAGAGAGTTTCGTGAGTAAATAAAACATTTGATGTCACTAATTCCACCCTCAATCATAGCCCAAATCAACATGAACAATATGATTGGTAGAAACTACAAAAAAAGTTCATTTAATCAAAGAATACTTAAAAGCATTTATATAAGTCATCTTGTAGTTTTTGTCAATAAATCAAATAACCTGGGAGAAATTCTCAGAAAATATTGAAATTAAATGACACCAATCATAAAAGAATGTAAATGTTTCATTCAAAGTGAGAGGAAAGATAGCAACTCCAGATAAAAGAACTAGCCTAAAAAATAATGGTTCTGGAAACTGTCTAACAAGCCTTTATGCATATCCAACAGAGGATAAGGAGAAAATCACAGTATTCCATCCCAATTTAAGCTGTTTTATTATTTACATTTATAGATTCTTTGTCAAAGTACCATGCATAATTTCTGTGAGTCATATTTCAAATATCAACAGTTGCATCCATCTCTGTAAATTTGATCCAGTGAAAACGGAATTGCTTTTTCCACAATGAAGCCTCAGTGTGAGTAATTTAACAAAAATGAGGCAGTCTGTATTGAAAAATACAAAGCAATGCTGATGATTTGCAAGTCTCTTATACAGAATTAATTTTAAAAGGAAAAGTTAGCATTATTCCTTAAAAGAAAAATTTTGTTTATTCTAAATTAACTGCCATTTTTTCCTCACTCCAGATTTTTTATTTCTTTAATGAATCCGTATTTAAAGAACTGGCGTAAAACTACTTTCCATAGAAATGGTTTTGGGGAAAGAAATCCTTCATATATAAATTAAGATAAGCATTTTCAGTAGAGAGCATACTAAGAAAAGTTCTGAGGGCTTAGATATATTCTTAAATACTTTCACTGAATAAGTTAACCAGTATATAATATTTAATGAGAAAGCAATGTTATGCGTAGAAACCGTATTGTAATTAAGTGTGTGATGAAATGTTTGCAAATAGTTCGCTCTTTCATAGTCTTCCATGGTATTGAAGAACACTGTTGAGTACATAATTATTTTGTGTAAATCAATGAGAGATATTACTAGTATTTGAGAACAAAGAATATAGTCTTTATTCTGTTCTGTGGAGACCGATTTGTAACAGTTATAAAACAGAGTTTGAAAATCTCTTGAGGGTTGCTGCTTCATCTCTTTTCTGATACAAGATAAGTCCATTACTTAGCCAGTGATAGAATATATCACCTATTCAGTTCAAGCTTTACATCAATTCAGTTTTACTCTGGGGGGTGAAAATTTTCAAATATAGCATAGATGTTATAATATTGAGTATATTAATCCAATATTTGCTGGATAACAAATCTAGCTGGGGAACTTTTTTATTCAAGAAAAACCAATTGAGATATATTTGTATGGTTGTAGATCATTTTCTCAAACTTTTCCCAATCTGCTTACTATTGGGCCATTAATATTTGTTTATGAGAAACAAATAGTTTTTGTTAGTGTTTTCTTAAATAGGAAAAAAAATCATTTCAAAGCACTTTAAAGAAGTAAGTAGTGAGGCATTCTTTGCCTTCAGTTGGATGTAAAAGATGTAGTACAAAAGGGAAAGGATTTGGGACAAGGCAAACTGCTTTTTCTGAAAAACTGAAGAACCTTCTTTGAAGAGAAGTGACACGTTTTCAAAGAAAAACAAAAAAATGGGACAACCATGACTTGGATGAATGAGAATCTCCATAGACCTGTGACAGACTATGAAACAAACAAAATGTTAAAAAGTTACATTGAAGTAGTTATTTACCAAGCACATCTAAGTTATATTAAAGTAACCAAAATATTTTTACAATCCCCAAGGCATGTCATGACTTTTGAGCACCCCTAATGTTTCGAAATTGAAAGTTAAAAAAATTGGCATGCCTTGTAGCATGGCAAACTGCAATATTTTTTTAAAAAACTATAGATTTTATAATTACCAACTGGAATAGAAACTGTTGAAGAAAAGGAATCATATGTTATTTATGTGTTGTAATCAACAGAGCTGCCTACTTCCAAGTTTTCTGTATATCTCTTAGAGATACATAGTATGAATTACTTCGTATGAATTCATACAAAGTATGAATTGCTATGGGAAAACTAAGTTAGAACATACAGTTCAGGAAGCTGAAACTGATGGAGTATTGTTGCTTCTTTCTTTCTTGGTAGTTAAGACTTCACCTAAAGGTAAGGCTCTTTGCATAGCTTTGAAAAAATATGTTACTAGATTTTTATCCTTCCCTTTTTATATATAGCTCCAAGGGTGTGAACATACCTCATACTCCTTCCTCCTCCTATTTGCTTCACAACACCACTGCCAGCTGGGTTGGGCTGAGAGAGAATGACTGACCTAAAATTATCCATGCACAAGGTGGGACTAGACACAGTCTCCTGGTTTTCTAGCCTGGTGCCTTACCAACTACACCAAACTGGCTCTTTATTAAAATAATTGGGCCACAAATTTGTTGTTTGTAGAAGCTGCAAATAAACTTTCTTTTGGAGTCATTTGATACTGAATTGAATGAGTTCTGTTTTGGCTAAGTTCATTTAACTTAGAATTTAAAATTAATTATTTTTAAAAGTAGGAAAATACCATTACGGGATAATTTCAGCCTATAATCAATTATCTTATACTTAGTTACAGGTTAGCGTCTTTTATATGTTCATGTAATCTTCTTGGCATAATTCTGATGTTTCTCGCCTTGTTCTGTAATGTTTTTCAGTTTTCCAGTGATCCTTCCAATACTTCCAAGTATTAACTAGGACCAAATAAATCAATGATGCAATCTTTGATAGGTTTACTTGAACATAACTTCATAGAACTTTGAATA